GGAGCCATATGGGGGGAGAGAATGATGGGAGGATGAGAAACAATAAGGCATATGTTCAATAGTGAGAGCAAGCAAATTAATTTTTATTGTCTTAATAAATAAATAGATCAAGACCATAATCATGATTCGGAAAATGCCTCGACCTTGCCCTTTAGGCAGCATAACGTACTTTTAGAGAGATGGAATGCTGAACAAATATGGCAGGGTCTCTAAAATTTTCTAACTTAAACCTTTCCTTTTTTCTAGAATTGGATGGATGATGATGCCACGCCTATGCACAACCGAAAGAGCTTTCCCCCCTTGGTTGCGACGCGACTTTCAATCATTGTTTATATTAAAAAAAAAAAAAAAACTAGCTCTGATACCATGTAGAATTTGTGTGAATTCATTTTAATTTCTCATTGATTGAATACGTGAAATATATAATACAAGTCTAAACTCTAGAACGACTCTATTTTAGTTAATTCTAAGATAAGGAAACTATATCTAACATATCTTTTAGCTAACATAAATATATCACAAAATATATACCTAAAAGATATCCAATATATCTCAATAATAGTGCATCATCATGATGAGACATATGATGACCTTTTGCTATATGGTAAGATTCTTAACATGGAGATTAATTTATTAAATTCTATTTTTGCTTATTTTCAAAACAATTAATATTAACACGATTATTATACTTCATACTTAATACTATAGGAAATATTCTGTAAAATATAAACATCAAATAACTAAGATCAGAAGAACCTCCCCTGGTTAAAAACTGAACTCAACATGTGTTTATAGCAACAATATGAAAAGCTAAAGCAAGTTACTCATTGGCCTGACCATCGTTTTTTGCATGCTTTCAATTTTTGTTTTTTTATAGTTTAAGATTGAACTTCTACGGAGTAGTTCTGTAATTTAAACTACCCTTAGCTTCCAATCATCTTGTGAAAAATACAAATTGGTGTGCGCAATAATGACTTTTATGTGCGAGAGACGATGAGTACGCAAATTTACAAGTGCAAGTTAAACATGGTATCAACTTGATTATGTGGAAACTTCTATTACGTATTGTAGTAATTAGTCAATTGCATTACTTCTTGACACAAATTCAACGTCCCTCCTTCAATTCCATATGACAAATCTCTCTTAAAAGATAATTAGAAACTCATCAACATGGACCACACTATTTGTTAGGATCGTAATTATCGTATTAGATATCAATCAACGACGTTTAGAAATATTAATAATGAAGTAGAATAAACTAACAATCACTTTAAGGGTGGTCAAGATTTTTTGAGTTTTGCTTAATAATCGGAGTTTCATGTGATAATATCGAAAGTAAAACTTTCATACATGCATCCTCAACTAACGTATGAGGGATTGGAAATATATATATATATATATATATATATATATATATATATATATATATATATATATATATATATATATATATAGTTGTTAGGGTCAAAGCCAAGGTGGTTGGCTTGGCCCCACGACTTAGTTGTTAAGCCCATTTGTTTTATTCGTTAACTCTTTATAAAAGTTTGTCAAAATATGTTTTATACGTACTACAGTAGTAATTATGACGCCTCTAAGGCCCACTTCACTTCCCCTTAAAAAAATAATATTAAATAAAAATAAATTTCAGTTCAGTAAAAAAAAGTTCAGTTCAATAAAAATAATTTCAGCTAAGTAAAATTCAGTAATTTTAAAGAATAAATATAATAGAAAATCAGTAAAAATAATTTCAGTTCAGTAAAAATAATTTCAGTTTAGTAAAATTAATTTCAGTTCAGTAAAAATAATTTAAGTTTAGCAAAAAATAATTTCACTTCAATAAAAATAATTTCAGTTCAAGAAAAATAAGGTGAAGTGAACGGGGCCTATCTAGTTATTAAATTTGGGCGATGCCTCGAGTTAATTCAATAATACATGATTCAAAAAATATTTTTTTTTTTTAATTTTGATAGAATGACATGCAATATGGTAATGGCTTTGTGGATAACGAAACTTAAGGTTATATGTTCAAGTCTTACACAATCCATATTTTTAAATATGTAAAATAAAATACTCAATTAAATGAGCTAGGAGAGCGTTATGTGGCATGCAAGCTTGTTTAGAAATGCCTTTTAATATATATTTTTTAAGTATATAGATTTTGTGTTTAAGACTTGCACTATTGTAATTTAATACTATTGAAATTTATTTTTTATATTTATTTTTTAGGGATGAAATTTAATTTTTATTATCTTACCGTTGCTTTCGATGAATGTTACCCTTCTTTTTATTTATTTATTTATTTACACTATTAATGATGAATTTTTTTCATTAGTTTTAAAATCCTTTAATTTTTCAAATCATCACCATGGTTTAAGAGAATGAACTATAAATTGGCACAATTTAATTAATTAAGTATTTGATTGAATTAGCAACACAACTAATATTTTTCTCACTCAAACATTTTGTATACAAAAATTACTCCACAATGAAATTAAAAATTCTTTATTAATCACAAATTTTAGATTTATTTAGCAAAATTTAGAAAAAAAAAGAAGAAATCTAAATAAATATATCTCTATAAGAAGAAAATACAATTTTTAAAAACTTCATGATTATTAATTTTAGTTTTTTACTCGTAAAATCCTGACTTCATCCTTGTTCCTCTTCCCTCCTCGCATGCAATGACTTTAAGTGAACGGGGTTTAAAAACTCATGAATACATTGTTAGACCCAATAAAATATAAGTTATAGGACTTCCAAGCACCACAATTGTTCTTAGATATCAATCTCACTACCAATCTTGGCGGTTTGTCACTACTTCCAACCACAAAAATCAAAGTCACAATCAAACCCAATCTCTCACTTTCATTAGCTCTTTCGTCTCAATTACAATCATGCACCTTCTTCCTGCTTAAAAAGTTTAAATTGGGTAGCATTAAACATAAGGTTATTAGAAGGTCAAAAGATATTGTTGGACCCTAATTAGCTTTACTTTTTGCCAAACTTCACTAAACGTAGTTAGGCTCTATTATGGTACACGTGTGCGAAGCAGATAGATGGAAGAACAATTTAACCTCCATCTTGAAATTTCATTTCTTGTAGACTTTTTGTTAATTGACGATTGGTGGGGTTCATCATTTCAAGACAAGAACCGCCAAAGCAGGGGTAGTCAATTCTCATGGATCGGATTTGGTGAGATCAGGTTGAGTCTATTTTGAATTTAAATTATGCTATACAAGTCAAAATTTAAATTTGATTTTTTTTGAGTTGATTTTGAATCGCATTGGTCGAGTCAGCTGTAGGTACACCCTAATTCTAATTGAAGATTATTAATTTTCATCATTGCATCCAACTCAATGGCACTTTCTCCTTCTCTTACATTAATTACCCCAACATCATCTTTCCATATAAATAACACAATTCAGTAAATAAATTCGCAGAGAATAAGGCATATGGTATTTAAGCCATTTTTATGTCAAACTCGTAATATAGACAATATTCCTATGCTCATAAATAAGCCATCAGTGACTGCCAGTAGAGCTTTTCCCCAAAATTGATCTACATTAATAAACACTCGGAACTTAGCTTTCAAAGTTATGCCAACTTTATTTTCGATAAACTAAAATTAATTTTATTAAAATGAAATTATGTTTATTAATTTTCTACTATATTTATTCTTTAAATTTACTAATTTTTACCTATTTAAAATTACCTTTATCAAAATGTACTTACTTTTATTGTGCTGAACTTATTATTACTAAATACCCTCTCACTCTCCTTTTGTTTACACCATGAGCTCATTTTATGTGAGAGTTTTTTTGTCAAATGGTGCAAACAATAAGGAACAGAAAAAATATTATTTTTAAAAGTTAGTAAAACAACGAACAAGTGGATCCTTAAATTAGATCATGTAATTCACACATGGAAATTCCCTTTATACTCTTTACGTAAGTTACACACACTCATAGTACTACCTACGTTTCATATTTTTTACATCTTTTAAATTTTTTATATCTCACAAATAATACCATAAAGTAAAAAAAAAATATAAAATGGAGGTATTAGAAGATTTTAAAAATGTTATTTTCGCTAATTAATTACATATAGTCTTAAGAAGGGACCTAACAAGGTTGAAACTATATAGTGAAAACAACTATTTTTTTTTTAACATGCGGTTAACATGTATCGGCAGCGTCCCAAACTCCCAATATAGCCTTTTTTCTTTTTACCTTGGAAATTAATTTATTATATTACCCACATGCTTTTTGCAGCAAGCAATGCAATCGCAAAGTTAAAAAAACACTTTAAGATAATACAATTTTATGGAAACTTAACCGGCGGTTGTTTGGTATTAAAGAAACAACAAGTGTGTGCGTGCTTGTGCTCGTGCATTTTCCCCCAACCCGAAATTAAAATTAATACTCCCTCCATATTTTAATAAGTGTTACGTTTATCAAATGCGATCGTGTTTTAATAAATGTTACACATTCTGTTTTACTAAAAAATTATATTTTAATATTATAATCTGGTCTCCATTCAAAATCACTACTACCTTTTTTTTTTTTACTTCATTCCTCTTACATTTATTACTTTTCAATAAACTATTAACCTATTATCTTTCTTTTACAATTTTTTAATACTTCAACTACCTCAATTACCTTTATTATATTTAAATTAATAAAATCACCTAAAATTATGTACGGATTAAAGTATAACATTTATTAAAATACGGAGAGAGTAACGTTAGTTCATGAATACATATTAAGAGTATGTATGTACATCAATCGCTCCAAAATGTAAATGATTTTGTAATACATTAAATAGATTTAATACCCCTTTATATGCGCTATCTCCCGCATATCCCACCACGTGGTCTTCTACTCACTATCTGAGTTGGACCTCTTTTTCCATCGCCTTCCCCTTCTTTTTCTATTTATACCCTTTCTTCCTCTTTTTCTCTCCTCAATACTTTCTCTTTTTTCTTTCTCTCTCTAGAAAAAATTAACTCCCTTTTTCTTTCTCCTCTTCGATTGCTTATTATTATAAACCTGTAAAGATAGGCAAACAACAGAAATACCATGATGAATCCTGCAGGAACAACTCCTTCTACTTCTAACTCTAGTTGGGCCTCCCAGGCCCAATTAGCCTTCAATTCCGGCCCATCAAGAAAGCGGAATTATAGTAAAATTCAGTGTGCTCTTCAATCCACTGTTTCTCCTTCAATTCTTCATTTTCCAAACACAATACATGACAACAACAAAAACAACAACAAAAATAACACCATTTCTATTACTACTAAACCTGAACCTGTTCAAAAGTGGAATATCTTCCAGAAGGTGGCCGCGGCTGCCTTAGACATAATTGAAACCGCTCTCGTGACCCGAGAGCGGTCCCAACCACTCCCTAAGACGTCCGACCCCCAGGTGCAAATAGCCGGGAACTTCGCCCCTGTACCGGAGATGCCTGTTAAACAAGCTCTCCCTGTAAGCGGAGAAATTCCGGCTTGCATTGACGGTGTTTACGTACGAAACGGTGCTAACCCGTTGTTTGAACCAACTGCGGGACATCATTTTTTCGATGGTGATGGGATGGTCCATGCAGTAGCAATCCACGACGGTGTTGCTAGCTACGCCTGCCGGTTTACAGAAACCAGCAGGCTAGTGCAAGAGCGAGACCTCGGACGATCCGTGTTTCCGAAAGCCATTGGTGAGCTTCACGGACATTCGGGGATTGCTAGGCTTATGTTGTTTTACTCTCGAGGGCTTTTCAGTTTGCTAGATAATGAACATGGGATGGGAGTTGCTAACGCTGGTTTGGTCTATTTTAATGACCGATTACTAGCTATGTCTGAGGATGATATTCCCTACCAAGTTAGGATCACCCCGTCGGGTGACCTTAAGACGGTAGGGCGGTTCGATTTCGAGGGTCAGCTAACATCGACGATGATAGCTCACCCTAAACTCGACCCCGAGACAAAAGAGTTGTTTGCTCTTAGCTACGACGTTTTAAAAGCGCCGTATCTTAAGTTCTTCAAGTTCACGCAAGACGGCGAAAAATCACCCGATATTGATATCCCGTTAAATGAGCCTACCATGATGCATGACTTCGCTATTACGAAAAACTTCGTAGTCATCCCTGACCAACAAGTTGTGTTTAAGATGAAGGAGATGATCACAGGTGGATCACCCGTTGTGTACGACAAGAACAAAACGTCGCGTTTTGGTGTTATGCGTAAGGATGCTAGTGATGCCTCGGAAATTACTTGGGTAACTTCACCAGATACATTTTGTTTCCACCTTTGGAATGCTTGGGAAGAGCCGGAAACGGAGGAGGTTGTTGTGATTGGATCATGTATGACTCCGCCGGACTCGATTTTCAACGAGTGTGACGAGTGTCTTAAGAGTCTGCTCTCCGAAATCCGGCTTAATCTACGGACGGGTGAGTCGACTCGCCGACCTATTATTGATTTAACACAACATAGTCATATAAATCTTGAGGCTGGCATGGTGAACCGGAACTTACTAGGGCGAAAAACCCGGTTCGCTTACTTGGCGATCGCAGAGCCTTGGCCTAAGGTCTCTGGGTTCGCCAAAGTTGATTTGGTCACGGGTGAGGTAAAAAAGTTTATGTACGGTGGTGAAAAGTACGGTGGTGAACCCTTCTTTTTACCCCGTGACAATACTATTTTCGAAGATACGGAAGATGATGGTTATGTCATGGGATTTGTTCATGACGAGGAGAAATGCATTTCCGAATTATTGATCGTGAATGCACAAAGTTTAGAGCTTGAAGCGTCCGTTAAATTGCCTTCAAGAGTTCCTTATGGATTTCACGGTACCTTCGTAAGATCCGAGGATTTGAGTCATCAAGCTTAACGGATTTCCGTCGAAGCTAAGTTCATACGAAGCATATTATACCTCTATTCGGAATTATTTGTCATATTATATAATCAATTTATGTGACAATCATTTCTGAATAGGAAGAGTAGTTTTCATCTCCTTTTTTTTTTTCTCTGTTTTCGAATAAGAAAAGACGAGTAAAAATTATACATGATGAGATGACGGATGAAACGAGGCGTCCCCGCCTCCCCGGTCCCGGTACTTTCCTAGACATCTACTTCAGCCAAATATGTTTTTACTTCGAGTACATTTTTGGCTTAGATTTTATTTTTTGACTTTTGTTGGAGGACCAACAACTTTAATTAGATCAATATTTGGACATTAGTAGAGGACTAGTTAGGAATTAGTGTTTTTTTTTTTCTTTTTTTAATTGGTAGTGAGTGTGAAATATCACTAGTGTAGATAATTATTTGTGTTGCAATTTTTGCAGCTGAAATTTCTGCTGCCTTGCTCATTTTATTGTTTAGGCAAGCGATTGATCAATTTTAACACCATTTTTCTATATCTTAATTCTCTAACAAATTTAATCAGCAGTTTAGTTGCTTTGTTTTCGGGTTTAATTAAGAAGCTTATTTGTTTCCTTCATAGAAAAAAACATATCCCGTTTAATCTTTGATACAAGAAACACTGAAGATATTTTCCTCGAATAATGGGTTGTATTATAAGATTTTTCTGCGCCATTTTTTTTGTTAAATGACTATATCTTTGATAATATGGAAAATTACTTGGATTTATTGATACTGAATAATATTGCATTATATCATTAAAATTCAAATCTTATATGATATCAACGTACTAGTAGATAAAATATCGATTTGTTGGGACTTTACATGACAAACGTTTGAGACTTATATGACTTCATGAAAAAAGATATAAATTGTGATAGGGTGATCAATAGAATAATATTATAATACTCCTTCCTCTTTATTATAATAGTTACTAATCATGTATTTTTAATCACAACGATTTAGCAAAAATGACTGGAAAGTAATAGAGCTATATGTACAAAAAAAAAGTAAAATGTTGTAAGAAAGATATAATTAATCAAAACATAAGTTGAGTTGCGATGAGTGGAGTGAAGTGTTGTAGAAAATAAAATTAAAAAATAAGGTTTATAATGGAATATTGTAAAAAGAGAAGAATATTTTAGGCTAATTAAACTAGGAAAAGGTGGTGTAACCGTATAAGAATTAATATTATTGAGTAAAATGAAAAAACATGAGTCATATACATTAAAATAGTAGTAATTAATAAAGTAAGTAAATTGTAACCATGTTTTAAATAAAAACAAGTAAAGTGTAAGTATTAATTTGAAACATTAATCCATTAACAAAAACTAGAAGAAGTACTTTATATAGTGTAATTAAATATATATTTGATACATCATAGTGATCATACATTAGTATTACACAACATACATGTTCACGTGGGTTTTGCACTGGAGGCATATGGAGCATGAGATGCTACTCGGTTGAATTATAGATAAGGGCCAGGGTCGTTTGATTTGAATGAGGAAAAAAGAAATTATTCAAGAAAAGGAAAGAAAAAGATAAAAAATTGAAATGAAATAAACATGTAAAAATTGAGGAAGATGAGATGTGACTTGACTAACACTATAATGCAGTAGAATTTATTAAAAAAGGTTATGTTGTATGTAGTCTTATAATACAACTTTTTTTTTTAAATGGTGTAAAATTTGCTATTTATAATATTTAAAAAAAAAAAAAAAAATCTTGGATTAATTGACATGTTAATACTTAGTTATTATGAATAATGCATTTTTATCTTCTTATATATACAGCCCGGCCTTAGCCTTTAATGCACATCAAAAATCCATGATCACATGGGATTTTTACCGGATGCATATGGTGTTTAATTTGGTGTGTTCTCCATCGAAGCTCGTTCGATATTAAATTAGTACTCCATACCATATTATTAGTTCAGTGGAAGCCTAAAACTACCATATATTGTCAAATAAATCTCAAGGTCTCAAATTATCATTAATCACATCAAACATATATATACACCATCATAGAATCCCAATCATAATAGAACTCTAACTACCTACCTTGGGGAATAATTAATCTATCACAATAAAAGATAATACAAAATATATAAGATATATATTCCCTAAATATTATCCCCTATCTTAACATCCCCCTCAAGTTGGAGCATGGAGATCCCGAATGCCCAACTTGCCAAGTAGTGACTCGACCTGAGCCTTTCCCAAGGCTTTGGTAAAAATGTCCTCAAGCTGCTCCTTCGTAGGGACATACGAAGGCGATATCAAACCATCTTTAATTGCATCTCTCACTAAATTCATATCAACTTCAATATGTTTTGTTCTCTCATGAAATACGGGATTTTGAGCAATGTACAAAGCTGACTGACTATCGCAAAATAAATTCATACCCTGCGAATGTTGCACACCCAAATCTCTTAATAGTTGTTTCAACTACTTTAATTCACATGTCACGGCTGCCATTGACCTATATTCCGCTTCTGCAGATGATTTAGAAATAGTATGTTGCTTCTTAGTTTTCCAAGACACCGGGGAAAAACCAAGCAACACAAACCAACCTGTCAACGACCGTCTAGTCAAAGGGCAACTCGCCCAATCAGAATCACACCACCCTTCAAGCCTCAATGCACTATCTGACCGAAGAAGTATCCCTTGTCACAGATTCTTCTTCAAGTAACGAACCACACGAAGTGCGGCCTCCCAATGCTGTTCTTGCGAACTCTGCATAAACTGGGACAAAATATGAACCGGGTATACAAGATCGTGTCTAGTCACAGACAAATAAATTAGCCGGCCAACTAGTCGCCTATATTTCTCCACATCATCCAACACCCTACCTTCTGCTAGGGCCAATTTATGATTCTGTTCCATCGAAAAATTTGCAGGTTTCGTACCTAATAGCCCTGTTTCGGAAATAATATCAAGAGAATATTCCCGTTGACAAATATAAAATCCCTACTTGTTTCGAGCAACCTCAAGTCCAAGGAAGTATTTCAACACTCCCAAGTCTTTCATCTTAAAACAATCACCCTGATACTTCTTAAATTTCGATAAAGCAATTTTATCATTCCCTGCAACAATCAAATCATCAACATATATTAACACATTCAACTGTAATTTCCCTTTGGTCAATGTGAACAAAGAGTAATCAGAGTAGGATTGCTTGAATCCATATTTCTTTAATGTTGCAGTTAATTTCGCAAACCAACACCTCGGAGCCTGTTTCAGAACATACAACGACTTTTTCATCCTGCACACTTAATCAAAATTATTCTTATTGAAGCCTGGAGGAATTTTCATATATATTTCTTCCTCCAAGTCTCCGTGTAAGAATGCATTATGCATATCCATTTGATGGACCTCCCAGTTTTTCACAGCTGCTACTGCAAGAAAGGTTCGAACTGTAGCCATCTTTGCGACCGGAGCAAATGTCTCATTGTAATCTAGCCCTTCAACTTGATGATTCCCTAGTATCACCAATATTGCTTTCAATCTCTGCAAATTCCCATGTTCTTTACGTTTGTCTGTATACACGCATTTGCTTCCTAAAGCCTTCTTTCCAGGTGGAAGTTTCTCAAGTACCCATGTACCTTGCTCCTCTAGAGCTCTAATCTCCGCGGCCATTGCATCTCTTCAACCTGCATGTTTCATGGCTTCTTTGAAACTTTTAGGCTCATGCCCCACTGTTATTGCTGCAATATACTTTCTATGTTTTTCAGACTATGGTGAGCAATCAACAAAATATGTGAGAGGATATGGAGTACCTGAGGAAGGAGATGTTGTCTATGCACGTGACGATGAACTGTATTTCCGGATTGTATGTGTCACAAAGTCCCGATATTTTGTGTTAGGAACTTTCGGCCTGCATCCTCTCCCCAACTCCTCACTCTCACTCGTCACCCCCTCATGCTCACGCAAACCTGACGCCCCCCTATGCTGCTGCTGCTCTCCATGGGACTGCCCCGCAGCAGTGTGCTGGTCCGACTGTTTTGTACCACTGCAAGCGCCAGGTGGAAAGCCAGCGGGATGATCAAGTTGCTGGGTTGGCTGCTGGTCAGTCCTGCCAGCGCCCGCTGGGTTTTCATCGGCCTGAGCAGTGGGTATTCGTGGCCTGCTAGCCATCCCAAGCTCTCACTCATCATCACTACATCCATCCACTACACCAACCCCTCGCGTAGCAACACTAGAAGATGCTGCTACGTTAACATTAGTGAATGGAAACATATTTTCAAAAAATCGCACATTACGCGACACAAATATTTCTTCAGTTTCTAAGTCGCACACTCTCCATCCCTTTTTCCCGAACGAGTACCCCAAAAATACACACCTCCGACTCATACTAGCAAATTTATCTCCTTTACTTCTTTGATTATGAGCATAGCATAAACAACCGAAAACTCGAATATAGTCATATGACGGTGGTTTATTAAACAATATTTCAAAAGGTGTTTATTCTCAAGTAATGGGGTCGGGGTGCGATTAATTAAGTGACATGCCGCTAGAACACACTCTCCCCAAAATTTTAATGGTAAATTTCCTTGGAACCTCAAAGCCCTTGCGATATTTAATATATGTTGGTGCTTTCTCTCAACTCTACCATTTTGTTGGGGTGTTCCCACACACGAAGTTTCAAAGATCACGCCATTTTTCGAAAAATAATTTCTCAAAGAATTAAATTCCGCGTCATTATCACTTCTAACAATTTTAATGACTTGATCAAATTGACGTTTTACCATAGCAACAAAATTCAAAAACATCAACTCAACATTTGTTTTATTTTGCAATAAATAAATCCAAACATCTCTAGAATAATCGTCAACTGTTGTTAAGAAATAATGAGCACCACACGAGGAAGGTGTTATATATGAACCCCACAAATCTATATAAACAAGTTCAAATATACGACTTTGCTTTATTCTTACTAATTGGAAAACTACACCTAGTTTGCTTAGCACGAGAACAAACATCACATGCTTTATTATGTTTCCTAAAAGAACTACTCACATTAGGAATCATTCTCAACACCGTCTCTGAAGGATGCCCCATCCGTTGATGCCATAGGTCAAACGAAGACTCCCCATCCACTGCTAGAACCTTCACTTGAGGGACACCACGGAAAAGATACAATGCATCCTCGCGTTCACCCATACCAATCACCCTCCTCATCTGCGGGTCCTGCATAACACATGTTTTGTTAGTACATTGCATAGTACATTTAGATTCATCACTCAATTGGGTGACAGAAATTAAATTGCAGGTCAATTGAGGCACAAAAAGAACATTCTCTGATAGCAATCCTCCCGGTAACATCACCGTTCCCAATTGATCCGCATTAGCCGATTGACCATCCGGCAAACCTACGAGGCAATTTTGTATTTTCTTCACGTTTTTTAGATTCGAAAAATCACAAGTTACATGATTTGATGCCACCGTATCTACTATCCAAGGTACTGTATTTATCTTACCATGCAATTGCCTATTGGTTGGATTTAAAATATCCATGATCTGCTGTACTTGAGTTGCCGAAACTCCCACCAAGGCTGATGCATCATCAGCAGTCACGGACCCTTGCTGTTGCTTGCTAGAGGAGGACGAGCTTGTTGC